TTTTATTTTACTTCTGACAAATAGTATGAAGCCAGAACAGATTTTTGTACAGTTTTAAGAGAGTAATGCAATGACAGTAATTAAGAACTTCAAACTTTTATAAGTTCATATTTATCATTTTAAACAATAGTAGTGTTCATTGATCATTCTCAGGCAACAATAATGAGTAAACTATTTATATTTTCAAAATTTTATTTTATTACATCATTGTAAAAGTTGATTAATCTATACATAGCCTGTCACTTTCATATAAGAAAGCACATCTGAAAATATGATGGAAACAATAGAAATACCAGTGATAACTTTTGTTATTCATAACAAATTATCAATATTTCCTAATTGTTTTACATTGCTAAATTTATAAATATAATTTTTTTTTTTTTAAATTTCTCCGTGCACTTTAGATATACTAATAGCAAGAAAACAGAACTCTTTTTTTTATATTTTCTCATATCAAAATCTTTTCTCAAAACTTGAGAGTGTCACTAATCTAAAAAAGAAAAAATAGAAATTATAAGAATTAAAAACAATCTGAAAATGTTTTGGGAAAGTTGCAAAAATAATGTCTGATTGTTTCAATAGCAAATGTCAATTTTTTTTTTTTCCAAAAACAAGATTTTTTTTTATTTGCAAGTCTTTATTCAACTTTATTTTATCCTAGTGCCTCAATTGAAATTATTAATGTTGTACAAAAAATCATTCAAGGATTTATATATATATATATATATATATATATATATATATATATATTTTTTTTTTTTATTGCAATCTTGTTTACCTTAATTGAGATGAGGAATTTTTATATAGAGTAAAATCTCAACACTTGGAGAAAATTTCCTTACCCATAAAAGAAGTAGCATTTATTTATAACATTTTTAATTCCCAATAAAGTAAGTAGGATTATTTTTATCTAAATAAATTTGAATGATTGACTTTGTATTAAAAAGTACACTTAGGTTTGGAAAATTCAATGAAAATTAATTTGTTTTCACAGCAAAAAAGGTGGGGAGAAGGTTGGAATAAAGAGAGGTTGAAAAAAAAATGAAAACTAAGCTGACTAGGTAGGAAAAAAATATCAAAGATTTAAATAGTTGGACAGGATGCAGGAGTATTATAGTCTAGAAACTATGTAATTTATAAATATGAAAACTTTCTCCAAAATTTGTTAAACTTGTGTTTGCATCACATTTTTCATTTATACACAATATATAAATATCTGAAGAGAATTTTTTTCATTGATACAAGAAAGTGAAAAGATTACTTTCCCTTTAAATTCACAAGTTATATCTGCATAGAATATAAATAAATCAACACTAAAGTAGCCATCAATAAAATTTGAACTCTGTCATGTTTCTTTTTTACATTCTCTTCCATACCAGCCATCATGAAGATGTTTCATTTTTCTATTTGTGATTATCATTAAACTGAAGTCTATTGATACAATTCCATCTCTAATTTACTGTGGAATTGTTTTACTTATTGTAATATTTACTAAGTCATTTGTTCAATGTTAATTTCATGTATTTTTGAAAAATATCTCAGTATGCTTATAAACAAAAGGCTGATTTGGGGCTGCTATTTTTACAATGTTGCAAATATATTTTCTTTAAAACTTTTGAGTAAGTGATGATTTTTAGCTTTCATAAGTTTATCTGAACTAAAATCTTCATCTTTTTAAACAATAATTTACTGAAGAAGTTTAGTTTAATCAGTAATCCATAATTTTTTTTCAGTTTGATAAAAACAAAAAAAAACTCTAATTTTTCACCAGATTACCAAAAATGTTATTGTACTGTTTATTCTGTATGTTTGGGTGAATGTAAAATATATATGAATACTTGAATGTGATGATAATGGATGTTTTTATATATAAAGTAGACTCTTACATTTGATTTTTTAAAAAATTCCTTACATAAAGCATTAAAAAGAAATTGTTACAAATATTTTTCAGATATTTATAGTTATTTAATCAAAATATTCCTGTCTTTTAAAAAACATTTACTTAATTTGTTATGACACAATTGAAGGCTAATTTGTTTTCAGTTTATTGCTTACTAGGATGTGCAGATGGCATAATGGATAGTGGCTTGGAATGAGAAATCAGAGGGCTGTGTTTGAATTACAGTCAAGTTCATTACATTTACTTACATGCAAATACCCCCTGAGAAAGGTATGAATTCATCTCTTCTCCAGCTATAGGTTAAATAGTAGGATTTGTATCTGGAAAAATCATTATCTCTAAAAAATGCAATATTCACTTGCAAAAAAGAAAAAGTGAATTATTTTTACAATCCAAATAATGTTTAATATTTCAATTTTAAATAATCCACAAAAGGTTAATAAACCATAAAAAAAACAAATCAACAATATTGCTTAATATACAGAAATAACCTTTTTGTTAAAATTTATATTTATTAGTTTACTAAACAAGTGTAAAATAATATCTGCTTAAAACTACCAATTCGAAAAAAATATTCTTATACTAATTTATAAGTAATTGTAATATATTTAGAAATAGTAAATACCCTTTAAATTTTGGGCTTATCCCTGGTGAATAATATTTGAATAAAAATAAATTGTAAATTTTTCATTATTTCTTAAAATCTCACTTTTATTTGAGTTATTATGCCAAATTTGGACCTAATGAAGCAAAACAGCTATTTTCCAAATATCCACTCAAAAGCTTTTCTATAATTTAACTGTCATTTCAAAGCTGTTTTGCAATTTAAAATTCATTTGCCCTTCAACTGCTGTTTACAAATATATTGCCTGATAATAATAAAATAGGAAAAATTCAATGCTATGTTATCCAAAACTAATTGTTACCTATTATGTTAATCTTGACTTATTTATACTAGTTTAAAATAATTTAGCAAAATTAAATATTGTATCATATTTTTGATTCTTATAATTGACTATTTTTTTGTCAAAAGAAACAAGAAAGAAACCTGAAATATAAAATAATTTGGCTATACAAACAAATTTTTAGAGTATCATCTTTTTTATCTGAATTTACTTTTTACATTTAACACAACCTTATGATATTGCTTACTGATGACAGTCTAAGAGTTGTAATAAAGATAGATGTAATACTAGTTTAAAAAAAAATAAATAAATTGCAATACTTCATCAAAAATAATTTTAATGTTAATACAATTTTTTTTTTATTATTTCTGTTAACCTGAAATATATTTGTTGTCCAGTCTTAGTTCCATGCTGAATTCTCTTGAATCCTGTAGATGCAAATAAAAATTATTTGTGCTTTATAAAAAAGAAAATATTAGTTTGGGGATTTGTATTTTTACCTTTAAATCACATTGCAAATATGTTTTATTTAGACCCTTTAAAATCATTCAAAGTTTTTTTAATGTGTCCTTTTTTTTTTCTTCAACTTAGAAAGCAATAAATATTAAAAAGAAAAACAGTGAGGAATTTTAATAAAGACAATTTTGAAAATACCCCTTCAGTAGCATTTTCTTCTTTTTACATTTTAGTATGCTATGCACTTGACCAAAAATACCTCTTGCAACATTTTTCATGCCTCATTTCTTAAATATATTTTGTATTTTATATGAAAATTCATTGTAGTTTTCTTTTTTATTTGTTTTCCAATAGATAAAATGTTGTCAAATTTTTGAAGAATACCTGTTTGAAATATAATTCATGATAAGGACTATGCAGAAAATATTTGTTTTATTTAAAAAAAAAATGAAAGTGGTCCATTTTAAAAGCTCACAAATGAAAATTTGAAAGAGCTCTGTTCTAATGACAGCAAATTTGAAAGTTTTGTATAAAAAAAAATTTCAAAATATCTCTTATATTTAATAAAAGAATCTATTTTTTCTATCAGTTTTTCTTATTTATTTTTATCTTTTCTCACCTTTGTCTATTTTTTTTATTACTTTTAAATATAACTGCTGGCAAAAATGTCTCCTAAAAATAAATAAAAACCTGAAGTTTGCTGATGGAACTAAGACGAAAAACAAAATATTTACTTTGAATATCTATACAATATAAGTTCTTTCTTCACCTGAGTATTTAGCAGCAAATAGCTGATTATATCAGTAAATCTGTTACCTAATGATGGAGAGGAGAGCATTTTATATGATAAATATTTCTTTTTCAACATAATCTATTTTGTCAATGCAATTGATTCATTGCTTCTCTATAAATCATCAATTAAAATTTCAGATCAAAATTCATAACTGTCAGGTTATGAACTTATTGATTCACTACAGAGAAGAACCTTAAAATATTTTTTTTTCTATAAATATATAAAACAAAAAACTTGGTTTGTAATTCTTCAAACATAGGTATTGATCCCTTGAAATTACCTTTTCTTTGTATCTGCAGCCCCCTAATGCTGAAATGACAGATGATGTCATTGTTATTGGTCAAGAAAATGAAATTGGGAAACCAGGTTCAAATTATTTAAAGCCAATGCTGCTTGTGATAAATGCCCTTGGAGAAGTAATGAATGGAACATTTTTTGGAGGGGTGGGGTTCTGTTCTACTTAAGACAACTTGAATACTCTCTTATTTTAACTGCCCTGGATATGGTAGCTAAAACGGCCGCTCTATTGTTAGCATTAATTGACAGAAAGACCTGCGATTGAATAATGAATGTATGTGTTTGTATTGTATAATGTATATTATATTTATTTTTGCCATGGACTTTTTGTACACTGAATTTTTTTAAGTGGTTTCGTAGTAATAGCACCCGAAATAAAACCCGAAAACTTTTGTCAGCTAATTCGCTGCTCCACTAAAGAGCCATACTCGCACATGTTATTTGTTTTGCACTAAAAAGTCTTATTTCAGAAGCGAGAGAGATAAAGCAACCCTTGTGACCTTTAACCGATTAGTCACGTGGTTAGAGATTGTGACGTCACTGCCTTTTTTTTATTTTTATCTCACGTCGGCTTCAGTTGCAGTCGTCCAGTGGATAGAAGTAGGATCATTCTTGTTTGTCGAAAACAAAGCTTTCTGACATTCAAAAAATGGCTTTGAACAAACTTGGCATTGATCAAGTTGACCTGAAGGATAAAAGGGTCCTTATCAGGTGGGTATAGGCATTTATTTATTTGTGTAAAAGAAATGTTACAAAGAAAATGCTATTTGTATTGACAACCTTCACCTTGTAATGACCTTGTCTTTTTATGGTGTCAAGGTTGCCCAGTTATCTGCACGTAACAATATAAAATTAATATTTTGTCTGAGAAAATCCTCGTTAAATCCCAAACTAGACAACGAATATCCTTTTATTACTTCTTTAACCTTTTTAAATTATAAAAAACTAATTTTAAAGCGATTTTATCGAGCTCTTTATTCGAGTTGAACGTTTAGATTTTTTTTTTTTAAATTTTGAATTTTAAGTTAAATGTTGTGTATGTTTTAATTTTTTTTTTAGTTGATTTTAAGTGTAAAACGATCTTTTAGAACATCGGTATTAAACATTATTCTAAGTTTTTTTTGGTTTTTTTTTTCGTCTTCCCAGTGGTATGGATTAAAAAAATAAAAATACGAACTTCAATCGATCATTTTGGTTGGAAATTTAAATAAATTTGGGAATAATAATCAGTATGTTAGTACTCAACAGAATTCTTTTGGCTTCTCTTTTATTCCTTGTTTCTTTCTAGTTTTATTCTTCACGTTAGAAAATGAAATATTACATTCATCGAGTAACGTTCATCGAGAATTTGAAAATCTTTCTGAAATGTTATGATTTAAGATTAAAAAATATTACTTTGTTTGATTCAATGCTAAAATAAAAATGTTTTTTTTAATGCTGTTTTAGTTTTAACATTAATTTTTCTAGGAGAATTTTATTTTTAGATATCTTGGCAGTTTTTCCATCTCTCTGAGGTTCTACGAGTATAACGGAAAAGTAATTTTTATAAAAGCAGAAAAATATTCTTTAAAATTGCTTGGTGCTTATAACAAATAACATTTTTAATAGATTTAAAAATGTTATTTGTTATAAGCACCAAGCAATTTTAAAGAATATTTTTCTTTTTCTTTTTAATCAAAAAAAAAAAAAAAAAAAAAAAACTTGTGTGCATGAAAACGACTTCTTTGTTTTTATATTCTTCTAAGTTAGTTCTAACGATCTCAAAATGAAATAAAAAAAGAAAAGGCAAAACAATAATTATTATTATCCCAGTGTCTTCCTGTCTAAATATTTTGAGAAATCCCATCCTAATCTAAAACCACGTACACCGTCCTTTAAAACTTATGAAGCGTTGCATTCGTAGTTGAAATATGTCCTTAAGAAGAAAAAAAAAACGTTATTGGGGGGAAAAAAATACAAACTGGTGGATAATTTATTTTATTCCTATCCCGCCAAGTAGTGTCAACTTTAAAATAAATGATGCCATTATTCTTTGAGTTTGAAAGTATTTTTGGGGAATAATTTAATTTCTCCAGCGAGAATAATCAATCGTTTCCAACAAACGAATTTTTAAAAACTAAATCATTTCATTAACTTAACACCTTTTCAAGAACAAATGAGGTGTTGTTATTATTACTCCATTGACTAAAAAAAGCGAAAGGTCCACCATCATTTCATGAAACATGACTTTTTAAACTTTCTTAACTTCCTTTTAAAATTCCAGTCCCGAAATTCCAGTGTGGTTTAGTTACCGGCATTTATTTATTTATTAAAAAATACGCAGAAATGAGTATATCACTCGATTTTTTTAAAAAATTTTATTGATACACAAGTAAGTGCATATGCCTACCTTCTTAAGGAGCTCTTGATCTCTAAATTGACATTTTTGAAAATAGATTAATAAAGAAAGCTATTTCTAAAATTAAAAAATAAAAATGTATTCTTTGTAATCAATGTAATGTAATGTTTTAAATTTTCTTTCTTTCTATTTATTTGTTTATAAAAGAACAAAAATTCCTTTAAAAAAATTCCAATTGATTAATAAATTGATTCTTTTAAATAATATGCATTTTTTTCACTTGTACATAAGAAATACAAATTTAAGGGTTGCATTTTATTTTGCAACTTATTTGAAACGTATTTAATCTTTCAATAAACTACAGAAAAAAAGTAAAACAATTTCTGTTTCTACTCCAACAACGGTAGCAAAATGTGAAACCAGTTCAGTCAGTATGAAATCTGGATTCTCTCTTGTCATTTAACATTTTTGCAGTGTTACTATTAATTTTTAATTAGAGATCATGTCACCAGAGAAATATTAACATTAAGTGTTACATTCAATGAATATTCTATTTAATTTTTATGTTTCTTGTGAACGTTTTTTTACTTTTCTGAATTGTGTAGCTGATTGTTAGAAAGCAAAGTCTTTTTTGAGAGAATTTTGACACTAAGGCCCTATAACAAATACCTGTGTAGTTTACTGACGCGTAACGTTACCATATAGTTACTTAGTATTAACAGCAGCTGCTGTACTCTTTATCATTCTATTGATTGTAAGATAGCATGATTGAGAATTGCTCTTATATACATTTTTCCTTAGAAATTTCGTAACTTTTTGCTCTTTTGAAAAGTATTATTTATCAAGTTAAAAATTCATAGATATTTTTCATTGATGTTAATTTTTCAGATGTAGGAAAAAAATGCTTTCAAAATAATGATTTTTTTAGGGTCAAAGATATACTGTTTTTAGATAATAATTAATTTCACATGTCCTTGGGCGAATGAGTTTATCTTTGATAAATTTATAGTTATTTACCATGGCTGTTCAGACAAGCATTTCATTTTTGTAAAGACATTAAGAACTCTGGTCTGTACTGGAATTTAAGCAAATTATAGACCGATAATTTGAAAGAAGTATTCAAGGTTATATAGCTATATTCATATCTGAATCAATCATTTTCTCAAGGCTACTCCTTAGATGGATATTGTATCCAAATTTTTAAATAATTTTCCATTATTTATACATATCATTAAAACAAGTTTCAGTATCAAGTCAGAATATTTATAAAATCTCCTGCTATTATATTTGGAAAAACAAAAACAGTTGACTTCATTGTTAGGCAATGTTTTTTAACAAACATAAAATCTAGAACTATTGTAACTAGCCAAAATGCTCCTATTCATTTGGCTTAGGAACTAGAGAGTAAAAAGATTCTACTATTTGGCCTATTTATTTATTTATTTTTTTTGGCAAACTTAGGGTATATAAGGGTATATAATTTTATTTATATTGAAATGGTAATCACTTACTATAGATCAGGTTTCATAACCTAATGGTGATTAGTTTTGTTTGCTAGCTATTATTAAATATGAATTGTATTGAAAAAGGAGAAATTATATAGCTTGTAAACTATAGAAGTTGTTCTTATTATGAGGATAAAAAAAATACACACTTTTATTTTTAAATTTGAGTTTTCACAAGCATAATGCTATTTTCTACTTCTGAATTACTCTAAATATAATATTACCAAATCTTAATTGTAAAGCTGTGTTAGGAATGTCCCAATAAATAGTGATTTGCAGCAGAGGCAAATAATGGAATTACTAGTTCCATAATTCACTGGCTAATTTAAAATTAACCTTGTTCAGAGACTAGTTTGCCAAAATATGATTTTAGCATAATGGTAGTCGTAACAACTTTTAAAAAATGTATAGTATCTGGTTCAAAGAATGCCAATAAAAATTGACCAGTGAAAATACAGGTTTATTTTTATAGTATGGAATAATGAATATCATTTTGTATTCTTGCTTTATGATTTCTTTAGCTTTTCTATGAGCTTTAGATAAAAATATGATCACTGACAAAGATATTACCATATTCCTCTTATATGAAAAAATACAGCAATCATTAGATTTTTATATTAGAATCAGTTGCTATGTTTGTGCACTAAATTTCTTAAAGGTTAAATCTTTTCTTACATATCCCAGGTCATTGTGAAATACCTGATTAGAATCTCATCCTGATATGCAAGATGCATTATTTGTTGTGTTTGTAAGCAGATAAATTATTTCTTACAGAGTGACCTAAGATAATGACTTATCTTAATGACTTGATAAAAAGAAAGAATAGTTGTAAGAGCAACCTTCCTTTGTTCTGATTGCTACTGAAAAGCAATAAAAGAATCAGCTGCTTAGCTATTTGCAATTAGAAATAATTAAATGCGATAAGAGGAACATTCTAGAAATTATTCTTCAGTAGTCTTATGTACAAGTAGGAAATATAGTAAATATCAATATTTATGTGCACTTTTTTCTTTTTTTCTTTTTTTTTTCTTTTTTTTTTTTTTTAAAGCATACAAAAATTGAATTAAAATGTAATTTTGTGACATTAGAGTAATTTATGGTTCTCAGCCAATAGGAGTCAATATTTGACTTTGATCAAACATCTATATTAGGTGATAAATGCTGACAGAATGCATTGATGTTTTTTTTTCTTTAACTGGTAAGTAAAAACTACTGGAACTGCAAACCTGGAGCCTGCTTCCAACATTAATATTAAATGGAAGCTAAACTATAAAATCTGCCCTTGTGAATCAACTAAAGCAATGAGAGAATATTTGCTTGTTTTTTTTTCTTTTTTTTTATCAAACAAAGATGTATATCTTTGACCAATTGACTTTACTTGAATGTATTTGAAATGAAACACTGATTTTGTTGGTTTTTTTCATCTATTCATTTTATTTAAATTTCTTTGAACTCTAAATTTCACTACATTATTATCTTTCCTTTCTATAAATCTGAAAGAAAATTTGAACTATTATATCTACCTGTCATATTTACATAACTAAAAAAGTGTATATTTGAATAAGTTTATTATTGGCTCTTAAGCCATATGCAATAATAAGCACAATTTTTGCATGAGTCTTACAATTTCTTCTATACAGTTCTTTTTCATTTTGAGGTTTGGTATCTATTAAATTTATAGAAACCTTATGTGTCGTCTTGTTGTTTCAGAGTTGACTTCAATGTACCCATGAAAGAAGGGAAAATCACCAATAATCAAAGGTAAATTACAAATTATATTTACTAGGATGTATAGCAACTGTGAAATGTGATCAGGATATAGAATCCTGATGATGTACTGGACAAAAAAAAAGTTGTTTTTGATAATTAACATCTTCTACTGTCATTAAATATCAATTTTTGCCAGAATTTCTTATATAAGATGTTATTATTGTACATTGATTTTTTTTTTTCCTACTAGTTTCCTCATCTTTGTTGTTTTTATGGAAACGGATCAAGAAAGATGATCACTTTGATTTCAAATCATTAAATCTCAAAACTTGCTTAGAAATTCAAAAATGTTTACCATTAGTAGGCCACTCATAAGTCAAAATATTTTTGGTAATAGTGCTTGGTACATTCTCTTCTGACTCTTCATTTTATTTTTTTTCATTGAACTTCTTTCTTGTCCAAATAAAACTGGCAATGTAACTTATAATTATCTGATTTAGAGTCAAGAACAAGGAAAGTTGCTTATTTGTCTTACTTTTAAGTGTACTTGAATTTATTTTCATGACCATTCTGTCAAGTGTAATGGGTGGTACTAAGTGACACGTGTAATGGTTGGTACTTATAGACTTTACTTTGTGTCTTTTTCACTTTTTTTTTTTTTTTTTTTTTTTTTTTTTTTAGCCACATATTATTTGCATTTTCTAAATCTTTGTATCATGACATTAGCAACAAGAGTGGCAAAAAGAACTTCTTATAATATTTTCTTCCCTAAGGAAATATTTCTATGCATGAAAAGAAACATTTCCTGTTCACCTGTAGAATAATATTTCTTTCCATTTTGTAAAATACATCTATTGGATGCTTTGATACACATCATCAGTGATGTTTCTAGCCAAGGTTCATTAGGGGTTTCAGGTCTTCCAACATCATACCCCCTCACCACAGTGACCCAGCTGATACTGATCGGGTATCGATTTATGTATCTTCTGTTAGCTACAGTTTTTTTCATCTTTATAACTACACACTGACTCCCCTTAGCAATTTATAGCCCACTCCCAGATAACTTCCGGTTCACCAGCAATAATTTTTTATAGTTTTTGATTATAGATTAAATAGATTGAATGTTAATGGTTATTTTGTACATCTGTCATATTACCTATTTCTTTTATAAATCTAAAGCTTTTAAAAGAACTATTTGTCAATTTATAAGCATCATAATTTAGGACCCTCACCATATTTCAATTCACCAAATAATTTCTTTAAATGCTCTCAAATAATAATAGAGAAAATAAGTGAGATGTCACATAGTGATCATTATAAAAATTACATTAGCTAATATATCAAATCATGAGCTCTATCTCACTCCTCTACAACCATTGTATCAGGTTCTAAAGATTTAAATCATTCAAAAGGAACTTCTAAAGAGGTGTTTTTTAGATTATAAAATAAAATTGAAAAATGTTTTATCAGTCATTACAAAACCTCAAACCAAACAAATTTTGAATTCCTTCCTGGAAAAGCCCAACTTTTACTTGAATTGAGAAGGGATGCTGAAAAGTTCTTACTCTGACCAAGAAAGGATACTGAAAAATCCTTTTTGACTAGATTCTGAGGAGGAGGTCAGGCTGAGGACTTTTTGAACCCTTGTGTTCTTTCCCATAACTGAAATGTTATTCTAAAAGATTGCATCGGAAAAGCAAAAAAATTGAAAATATTTTTAATAATATGAACATCTTTCCTTTTTCTTTTATCAAGAAACTGCATCATGATTGTCTGCCTGTTGTTTCTTTTCAATATAATAAGATGAAATCTTTTTACCTGAAATTTCATGTATTAATTCACCCAGTTGATACTTATTCATTTAAAATTGTGACTGAAATTACCATTATAATTTTTAAGACAAAAGTCAAGAGAAAATAATTTCTCTCTACTTAATAAAAAAAAGGTGACTTTAGATAATTGACCAGGGGAAAGAATTTGGCACTAAACTTCTAAAAGTTTCACTGAGTATTCCATTCTTATATAATGTATTAAATTCCAATTATATAACAAAATTAACACTAAGAATGATGAGGCCTCAATTAAATAACTTTAGTTGTCTGATAAAATTTTTAAATCCTTAAATTAATATTTTTATTTCCTCCTTTTCCTGCTTCTTCAACAAAGTGGAATGTGAATATACAATTAGATTTTTTTTTATTTTATTTTTATTTTTTAAAGAAACAAAACTATAACTATGAATTTCTTTTCTTTTTCTTTTCAGGATTGTGGCTGCCATTCCTACAGTAAAACATGCTCTTGAAAAAGGAGCTAAAAGCATTGTGCTGATGAGCCACTTGGGTCGGCCCAACGGAATGCCAAATGAAAAGTACACACTGAAACCAGTTGTGGCTGAACTTGACAAACTTTTGGGAGTGTATGCATTTATTCTAATTTTTCTTTTTTATCCTCTTCAATTTGTTAAAAATAATTGTAAATCTGATGGAAAATTCAAATTGCTGTTTAGTTTTCATTTTAATTATCTGGTAAAAAAAGATCCATTTTAGTTTGATATTTTGGCTGCATAAAGTCATGTTGTGATTATTGGAAAGAAATAAAAACTGATGAACTTAACAATTAACACGTAAAATAAAATTAAAAACTCACTAATATACTATTTACTATTTTCATTGACGTTATACTTTTCTTTTTCTTTTATTGGTGTAAGTTTAAGAATTGATTTTAGTTAATGTAACTGTTAAATCTATTAGAAATAAAATTTTGAAGCCTTCTCTAAAAATGTATTTTTATAAACTCATTAATGTTAATTTCTTGAAAGTATCACAAGGATATGAAAAGTATTTAAATGATAAAAATATCTATCAGAAAAATGTAAATATAAATATGAACGTTTTCTGAACATTAACATTTATGCTTCTGTAACATGTAAATTTATGATTGCAATGCTATTTGATATTTTACACCTTGTGTAACACATTGACACTTTAAAATGCTGTCATGAGCTATTACTTTTTTAAGAGTGGTTAATGTGTGTTGTGTAAATCACCACTATGTTTAAGAAAAAAGCCATTTTCATTCTGATGGAAGTTTGGAAATTTTATTTTAGGTGACTTAAATAAAATAGCTTAATATTAATAGGTATATTTACTATTTAAAATATAAAATACTGTATTTCCAAACATAAAATACATTTAAAAAAAATCCTCCCAAACTGACCTTGTATCTTATATCTTGATGGTTGGGTTTTGATAGGCATTATAATAAAAATTACCAGTATAAGACTAATACTTAATCACCTCTGTTTCCTGAACTACTATCCTGATAAACACCAGGATAAAAAAACAATTAAATTATGATTACAAATCCAAATGATGTTAAGATATAAAAAAAAAAACACACGCACATGCGCGCACATAAATATGATTATAATTAATAGTTGTAGTCTTTTTATAAGTATTCATTGTCAAATTATAGATGTTTATTATATGGTGAAAAATAATTTTAGCTTTAATTTTTAACATTAAAACGTATTTTGTCTACAATACAGGACAGTGTACTAAAAATATATTTTTATTGAATAACTGTCTTGTTTCTATAGATCTGTAAAATTCCTAGCTGATTGTATTGGCCCTGAAACGGAAGCTGCCTGTGCCAACCCTGCTCCTGGTACAGTATTTTTACTAGAAAATCTTAGGTTCCATGTTGAAGAAGAAGGTAAAGGAGTTGATGCTAGTGGTCAGAAAGTGAGTATAAAAGTGAACCTTATCTAATTTGCTGTGTTTCGCTCCATTTGGATTATTTTTATACATGAAAAAAATTTATTCTAAGATGTCACTTTGCCTTGGGGATATAATTTTTTTGTTTTTGTTTTTAATCTACTCATCTTACAGAAATTATTATGGGAAACAATAAAAATGTAGAAAATTGAATCATAAGTCTTTCATAAATATGTCACCATATTTTCTTAGATATTTTTTTTTTACTATTACACCCATCTTTCTCATGATCAATTCTGCCTTTCCTTCACCATCATTAGCTAGTTGACTACTTAAAGAGTATAAAATAATGGTCAAGGGTGTAATAGTAAATAAATGCTTCTTAAAGCTTGTCCTTTTTATACATATTTTGTAACTGCTAAAAAAGAAATTGAAAAATTTTTAAAAGCTTAGAATATTTTTTGTAAAAGAAATTCATAGTATTTTCTACCTGCTTCCATTGTAAACCTTGATGAGTTTGCTGATCTATTCTTTTTATGATTGGTATAGTGATACTGATTTCATTCTTGATCCATTCAAATTATATAAACATGAATGACTGCATCAAGTATTTTATTTTCAATCTCTATCTATAAAAGGCAGGATGTGTGTGCGTGTGTATAACGAATGCACGGCCGCAATTTGCGACGGATTTGCCCCAAAATTTATATGCACATGCTCCAAGTTAGCGGGAAAGCCAACACTGACTTTGCATTTCCCAACTCCCATCGATAGTGGAAATAATCGATATTTTCATGCTTCTATGGCAGTTTTCATGTAGTTTGCGGCCATTTTGTACTGGCCAGAGTGAGATCCAATAGCTGGCTGCCACGAATAGGCGGGAAGATTCTATTCACCAGCGTGAGAGCCAACAGCTGACACGAATGTTAACTAGCATGCTAGCATGCAAAAAAATCAATAGCTGCATTCATCACAAGTGGGAAAAATTTAAATCTGCATGGCATTTTACTCCAATTGGCTCATTCGCTTGCTTAAACTCAACGTTGATTCTGATTCTGCAGAACTGGGTTGGGTGTGAAAAAGTATTTGTTGTTAACATTCTTTTTTTCATTCGGTTTTTCCAGTTACGAGTCCTTTTTTTAAAGCTGATCATTTTGTGTTCATTTTGTTTAGTTCTTTTTTTCGTAACTGATTTAATGTTTAGTATAGAGCTTAGAAAAAATTCGCAGTGTGAGATAGGCAAAAAGTAAGGCATGTAGCAACATCAGCACGGCAAAGGGCACTCCTTTAAAGGCAAGGAAGGGCAAAAATATTTTAAGTCAAGTGATAGCGATTGCTGTATAAGTTGTATGATTTTTGGATCAAGCACAGGAAATGCCGGGCCATGCTGCTAGTACTTCATATTTATTAAATGTTTGATATTATATACAATAATACAGATGTCTTTAGTTTGGTAATTTTTACTTTTGACTCTTAGTTCTATTAATGTTTAGTTATTTTATTAATTTTACTTAATGAAAATGATATTTTGATTAATCTTACAGATTTTCAAACTCTTTGAGTATAATAAGCAAATTGTGGAGTGAGCATTGAACTTACTTGCTAGGCTCATAATAAACTTTGTTAGTATAACTAGATAAAGAAAAATGACTAGAGAAGTCCTGATATAAAATATTTATAATGGGATTCTAATTTGCTTTCAAAAAACAAAACCAAAACATTTTTGTTCTTTATGGTTTTGAATTTGTGACAAATATAAGTGTTGGATATTGTGCTCACCACATTATTTTAACTGCAAATGAAAAACTTCTGTTAATGAATAAAAATATTCATCAGAAAATGCTAGATTATCAGTTAAATCTCTCATTAAAGAAAAACTTGGTATTTTATGTATCCTTCCTCCCTTTGACTCTATATCCAAAAGAACATTTCTTAACTTTTAAATCTAATTAAAATCTTTTAAATTTTTTTTCCTGTCTGCCCTTTATAACTTTGATTTGAAAATATCTAAATCAAAACTTGTATCCATTGATTTGATCCAGTGATTAGTAAGAAGCATTCAAGCTAAAGCAAATATATTCTAGAATAGTTTTTACTTTGAGACAGTATGCTGCCATAATGAATTTTTATCTCCTCTATTTTATTAAGTTTATTGTCTGAATTATAACTAATTAGTAAGCCTAAATGTCGTTTGGTGTGTATGCAACTATAACAGTTATTGGTGTGGATTTTACAAGTAAGTGAATCTATGCCTGGCAGTCTGTTGAAATGGGATTTTGATAAGTTAATGTGAAAAGCTTAGATAGCCAAGCTATGTAATTTGGATTTTACTAGCCCACCAGATGTACCCTGGGATTTGTCTTTTTCTAACTAAAGTGGGATTTGCCATTTTGAACTAAAATCCTGGAGAGTGACATTAGAATATAATTTAAGATTCTGACAAGAAAGAAGCTAGGATGCTATTTGAACAGAAAAACTTAGAAAAATGTCAGCCTAAAGAAAACGGAATTATCTTGATTACTTGAAGTGGGTTATTGGAGAAACAAAATGACAGACAGATGTAATTCAGATGTGACTAGATAGATAAAATCGGCATAAATATTTCTTTGGAAATAAAACAAGGGATGGCTGTTTGTTAATTATTAATTTTTCCTATCTGTAATATGTTTAGATAATTCTTGAGAATATAGAAATAGTAGAGGTTTCATATTGGATGCTGGAAAAATTATAATTTGGTCAAGTAATGTTAATTGATTAAGGATATTTAGATGGTGATGTAGCCAGTATGAATCCATGCTAAGAGTGGTGGTAAGAAGTTTTTTTTTTCTGTAATGGGCACATGGGAACCTGTAAGGAGGTTTTGAACAAGCTAAATTTGGAGAAACTTTGAGAGCTCTTGATAATAAATCAAATTAACCCCCAATCCAACTATCCTGGGATATATTAATATATGCAAGTAGTTGCATTTGAATTTGCAATCTGGAAAGATGCTGCAAGTTGATATCACCACCCTTTTTTGCCGTCCACTACTCTAGGTAAAATACTGCTCGAGTAGAGGTGCGAACCAACTTTATCCACAGGCCCAAGACCAAGGTTCCTTGAGTGAATTGTTGGGCTAACTAAATTAGTTCATTGTTGTCTTTTGTGATAGGTTGTTAATGATGTGGACACTAAAACCCGCTAACCAGCCATAATTAAATAATTAGAGCACAGCACTGCAGAATTGAAACAAGTTAAAATAACTGTAACTTTCAATAAACAAGCACTATGTTATAGTTTTGACATGCAAGAATCAGTCATCTGTTCTGAAAGTATCTTTTCTTTTATTTTTCTTATAACTTGCCCTTTTTGTTTTTGAGAACACTTTAACCAGCTTCACCTAAGATTTCCACAGATCAAAAATTTAAGTACATGGTGACACTGAGATCTTCAGCACCAGGAGGCAGTGGGGTTGTGTTATAAAACAAACAATCAATAAATTCATTAAGGTTTAATAATGTTATCAATTCTGCAAACATTTTTAAGTTCTAATAGTGCAAAATAAAAGGGCTTATTTAATGTTCTCTGTATTTTATTTTTTTACCAGGTGAAAGCGAAGGAAGAGGATGTTAAAAAGTTTCGTGCTTCTCTTTCAAAACTTGGAGATATTTATGTGAATGATGCTTTTGGTACTGCTCACAGAGCTCACAGGTAATCTCAATGTGACTTTTCAAAGCTTTTCTATTTGATTTTTTTTTTTTTTTTTTTTTTTTTTAATATATAATCAAATTTTAATTTTCTTTCTGGTTCAAGTAGTAAAATTTTGATCCATGCTTTAGTTACTATGTCGACACTCTTCTCTTGGTTCAACTCAACAAATTAATACAAGGCTCAACTGCTCAAATCATTCCTATTCTCTACTGCTGCTGATATTATTGTGACTTCCTGTAATGCAACATATAAGTTATTGTTTTCCTATTAACTATTTCCCTAAAACTCCAGTTTGAATATTTTCTTTCTGTAAATAATTATGTAGATTTCTCTCCAAATCATTGTATATCTTCAAGGAATAATCCTTTCAATCTAAATGGTGTGTATATTATTGTTTACATCTAGACTTAGATATTATGCATGGCAAAATTTTACAGCAATAGTTGCTCATGCACAAACCTTCATAAACAAAAAATAATTTCAAAATTGTTCTCTTGCTTTCATTCCTGCACACTATTAATTCTTGATTTATCTATTTTTTGATGATGTATAAATAAATATTTATTGAATTGGGTCTCTAATGAGAATTTAACTCTTTCCAACTCTTTCCACAATAAATGGTTTGTAAATCGCACTGCTCTATGCACCTTAAACTCTGTGTGTGTAAAAACAAAAAAAACAACTTGTAGTTTATGTCTACAGTGTCTTTTCTCTGATCTATCTCTTTTCATTAATTTTTTGTTGCTAGTCCCATTTCACTTAAATACCAAATTTTGCATAAAAGAAAATTTTCTTCAAATTTATATACAAGGAATACATCAACTTTGATAATTTTATTGAGAAAACTTGAGGTGTGAAAATGAAGATTGCTACTTTTTTTTTTTTTCTCAATCTAATTTTCAGCTGTTGAATTAAAATTGGAATTCAAGTAAATACTTGAACTATCATCCCACAACTTAGAATCTTGTCATATGACAATAAGTCACCATTTAAGCAACTGAATGTAATAAGATAGTATATTCTTAATTTTATTGCTATTTCCTTTTTTCTGACAATATTAAAAAAAAACATTGTCATCTCAAAAACAACTGAAAGACTTTTATTAACATAAAAATGAGAGAATGTGAAATGTACTTGTCTTTCGACCAATGATGCTGACATATTAGCTAATTTAGATCTGTAATATGAGAGAGATTTCTATTTATTACTTTATTTGTAAAATTACATGAGAAAATTGTGCATTTCAGAATTTTCTAATGTTTTGTTAACTGTTTAAATTTTTTACTTTATTTATTTGGGCTGTTTTCAAAATTTAAATGCTATGTAGCTTTCTTATTTTTATTTCAGTATTTTTTAATTTCAAAAACTCACCTTCAGATGATTCATTACAGGTATTAATTCAGATTTGAAATGTTAAATGTTTATTCATGCTAATGACATTTACTATTTCTCAGTTGCAATTGTATATTGCAGTTCTATGGTTGGTTGTGAGCTGCCACAGAAGGTTGCAGGATTTCTGCTGAAAAAAGAACTGACCTATTTTGCCAAGGCTCTTGACAAACCAGAACATCCATTTTTGGCAATTTTGGGAGGGTAAGTTCATTGAAACATTTGTCTTGACAATCTTTATTTGCCACTTTGCAAAAGTAAATTGTAACACAATAACTTCTTTTAATGTATAATAATACATATCCCACTGGATATGGTCCTCTTTTATGTGCTGTATCTCTTCAGGACATGGGCAATCATGGCTTTCCACAATTTCCTGTCTTTTGATGCTCTAAACATCATTTTACTCATTACCTTCCCTTTTTGTCCCCATTCTGCCATTAATTCACCCAAACTCATCAAGTAGGTTAATTGCTTTTTCCCCACACACTGTTCTGCTTCTATTCAGTATATCTTATGAGTTTTTCCCAAGTTCTCTTTCCTTATAATGTGTCGCAGTGAAGATATGAAAATCAAATCAATACAGAAATTTAACTATGTTGTGTAGTAATAGATCTGAAGGTTTATTGGAATAGCAAAAGCTGCCTTCTAGAAACTAAACAGTGTATTTAAATGATGAGAACATTTCATTAGTAATGAAGAAAAAATTACCGTGTTTTACCCATCTTCCTGTATGGCTGCTTGTCAACTTCTAACAGATAAAAAGGGAACCTGAAGTAATAGATGTGGTTCTACATGTTTTGATGCTGTACATACCATGGACAGAATATGAGAAATGATGAAGTTCTAAAGAAAATGGCATCTAGAATGGCACATGTGCTAAAAATCAAAGAGAGATCTGATATAGTACATGATTCAAAGTCAAAAAAATAAATGTTGGTCATCTTCAAATTACTTAGCTCTCTCAGTTTCTTACTGCCAACATTAAGGTTTAATCCTGACCCAATCCTACCTTAGTTTGTACTGTGAGGAGATGGATTAATTTTGGTTTTCAATCATAAATAGCCAGAGACTGATAGACACTTAAAGAAAGCAGGTTTACCATAATTTAAAATTTTTTTTTTTTTTTAGAGGTTTACATTCTTGTGTAATAAAGTGTTTTCATAGCCCAACACCCTTTAAATTGAAGGGCTTATATCTCTGGTATTTATTTAAATTTCATTAATTTTTTTCCTGAACATTTTTTTCCACCATTCATATTTTTCACTTAAATGAACTTTCTTCAAAAAAAAATCTCTTAGCTTTTATTTTTTCAAAATCCTTGCTGAAAGTCAATATTGAGTTTACAGTGCAATAATCCTTTTGCTATTGCTTCATTCATGCAACCTTTTTCTTAAGACCAAATTGCTCTTTCAACAAGAGCAAAAATGCTTGGTACATAACAAAAATGTATTCTATAGTCTTACTGAGATTAGGTACAAAAATTTTTTTTTTTTTTTTTTTTTTTTCTTGTTTTTTAAGTGGTTGAGAAATAGTCGTTTGTTTATAGAATCTATTTCTTTTGCTTTCCACTTGCCACATTTTGATGTATAGGAGAATTTAGCAACTTCATCAACAATATTCAGCATTTCCAAGCATTTCTTTAATTTTTTTTCAACAGCTGCTTTTATGTCAAACTCCATAAAAGAATGTTTTCTATCCAGATAAAGTATTTCTCATCACCAAAATGGGTTTTTCAGAGCTCAAAATAAGTAGCACTTAAGAGTTAGAACACAAACATTAGAACTAAACTGGAGATATTTGCTTTGCAAAAAGAAAGACCAAATGTCTAATATGCATACAGGATGCAATGCAAGAACACTTTAATCTGCACCTTGTGAGCTCATCCTTTACAGAACAGCATGTTAACAGCTACACCACCAATGAAAAAATTGTTTGAACTTCATCATGAATATGCATAAGTCTGCTGACTGGTACACAACATGTGCCATACTAATTCCATTCAGTTATTAATGACTGAATTTGTACAGAATTCAACAGTCTATGTTCTAACAAGCTAAGGAGCAAAATTCTGTTAATTATTACTTGTGTGTGTACTATAGATATTATAAAAGAAACTGTGCAATTGTAAGAAAGAAATAACTTTGAAATTTGCCACATCTCTAATATTGTACTCTATTGTTACTTGTGGATTTGACAGTAAGGATGTGTTTTAGACAATGAATGATTTTACTTACCTGGAGCTCCCAAAATCGTTATATACACAAACCCTAATACAAACTATATACTATATCATATATAGATAGTTACTACCTTCCAACAAAAAACTGATAAATATTTTGATGAATTTAAAATTTCAACACTACTATGTTATATAATGCACAAAAATTCTCAATTTAACAAATACAAGTTTATGCCTTTGGCTAAATAATAATAATAATAAAAACATGAGATACCAACACATTTTAGAGGCAAATGAGTAAGCCAGATAGAACACTGGAATTAACCCCCTCTTACTGGGACAGTGTTGTAAGCTTATGCTTCAGAGTATATTTTGTCTTAAGCTAATGTATTTAAATTCAAAGGAGAGGAATCACTCTTGGATTGCATTAAAAAGTAAATCATTGTTACATATATTAACTGTTGAAGTTCTTTACTGAAATACCACTTTATTTTTTTTAACACCAAATCATTCATTGGAATACACACTTATAAATCATCACAACTTTCATCAAAAGAAAAAGATAATAATAATCAAAAATATATTTATACATTAAAATTGATCTCTTTTTAGTTACTCATTATTTGTAAGTTCAACCAATAACAAAAATAGATCATTTATAAAAATATTAATCACTGAAATACTATAAAATATTGTGAGTTCACTTTTTATTCAATGACTTTCTACAATAAAACCTTCACATTTCATATTGACAAAGCATAAAACTAGACACCTGTATCCATCCCTAATTGTTAGTATGATCTATTCACAAGAAATGTAAATTTTTGTCAGTAAAATTAGAATATCAATTAATGTTTTATTTCAACTACTCTCTAGACTTAATACTTATTCTTTTTAAATGCATTATATATAGATATTTACTTTTTAAAATCATGCACTCTTGACATGCATAAATTTAACTTCTATCTATTAATTTGCATGAGAAAACCTAAGTTAGTTAATAATGTATCTTATGATGGCTTTTTTTAAAATGGGCTTCTTAGATTAAAATGAATACTACACAATAGAAAAAATTCTGGATAATTTAAATGTGCTTTTTCTGGTACTGGCTGGTTCTTGACCTTATTGTTTGCCATTAAAACATATTAGTGTTCATGAATTAACAAGCTGCAATTATTTTTAAATCTTGACTATAATTATAACATAATCATGTTCAGATAAAATAACATTAGCTCTTGAAATAATGTCTTTAGTTTCTTTTATTAAAGCAGTTTGCACATTAAATTATTTTTTATCACAATCTGTATTTATTTTATTGGGTTTTCAAAAATAGTATTTTATTATCTAAATTCATTTATGATTCTAAATGAGCAGATGGCTAACTTATGCACTACATTTAAAAGAAAACAAAACTGCTAGTTACAATTATTTTTCATTAAGAATGAAAACAATTATGCTGAAATTAAGCACAGTTAATGAATATAATTTTTGCCTAAATACCAATGTTTGAATAATATTTGCTTAATGACAAAATCAATCAAATACTACATTTAATAAACATTTAAAAATTGTTTAATATTATTAGTTTGAATGCTTATTTTTCTTCCAGAGCTAAAGTTGCTGACAAAATTCAACTTATTGAGAACATGTTAGATAAAGTGAACTCAATGATTATTGGAGGTGGAATGGCCTTTACTTTCCTGAAGGTTATCAACAAAATGGAGGTTTGTTGACTGTTTCTTAAATATATTCTCCATTGAGTTTTATTTGATGTTCATTAATTTATTACAGTTAACATCTTATTTAATACATTTATCACAATGTTTTCATTGTAGTATTCTCTTACGTCTCAATAGTGAGCAAAATATAGTCACAAAATAAAAATGATATCAGAATTTAATATGAAAATTATCTGAAATAAGTTAGTTGATGTGATTATGTAATGTTATGTAAGTAGCATCTGATACAACTATTAAACTAAATTTTTCAAGTATAAAATAACTTTATTTGCTTCTGAACTGTGTCAAAGTAATGTTGGCCATGGCGAGCATGTAGTTTAGGGAACTTTCTTCAAATATTTGTTCTTGCAAAGATGTGAGGGTCTCTTTTCCTTCTCATGGGTTGGGGATTCATATAACTTCCTGTCATCCAGTTGTTGTGTGTGTATCCTAAGTTCTGCTGGGTTCACTTCATGTTTGTATCTATGCACTGACGTCTTTTGAGGTTTGATTCTACATTTGGTGATTATGAAGTTACCTTTTAGGTTAACCTGAGTGGTATCAAGCTCTTTTGATGTCCTAAAGTGACATCAAGTACAAAGCTTACTTTGGTATCTCTTAGCGTGCATGCAATATATATTGAGGTCACCACAGATCAACTCCTTAGATGAAAGGTTCCTGATGGACATTAAATTTGATTCAGGCCTCTGGTAATTCCTGGTGTGAATCACATACTACAAAGAGTTTCATTGCATATGACAAAAATGTAAATCTTATTGACCAAGAAGAAAAAGCTACTAAAACATGAAGAGTTCATTGCCAGTAAAACAAAGATTTCAATTTCTGAGTTTAAAGAGAATTGAAACTTTATAATGAGCTTTAAGTAATGGATCAATTAATATAAAGTCAGAATTGCTATACTGTATATAATATCAACAAACTCATTCTTTTTTCAGACAGCAAGTGAAAGCAACTTTCCAAATATAACAGTAGAATATATATTACAATCAATAAAAACGAGGATTATTAGGGGTACTGATATGTCTTCAGCCTGATCAAGAAGAGAATGGCATTGGGCTATGAAGAACACATGCTATTCAATTGACTAGACATGTCATTTCACAAGTTTCTTTTTAACTTTTCCAAATAAATTTCTAGATGTTCATTGAAATACTTCTCTGCCCTCCAAATCATTAAAAAGATTTCATCCTTTTCAAACTTCTTTAAGATGGGGAAATAACTATATGGAGCAAGATCCTGTGTTGGATGGTGTATGCACTTAAACCCTAAATTCTTCAAAACATCCATTGTTTTACCAATTCTGTGAGCAAAAAAGAATTCAACTTTCTGTAACTTTTCTTGTTTTTCTTTCAAAGCGCCATTTATATTGTACAACAAGTTAGATGAGTATTTTACATTAACTATTTGGCCTTTCTGAAAATAACCATCATAACTTGCATGGCCATGACATTTCCTGCTGAATTTTTTCAGCCATGGATAACCAAGAAAGTTGTTTTGTGTTTAGATCATGGGATGTAACTGTTTCATCAACAAGTCATTCCAAAAGATGATGACTAGATTAACAAAAATATTGCAAAATCAACTCTGAGTTGTTTATTGGTCAGCATTTAAATATTTTACTATCCAATTGATGACGGCTTCTCTGTACCCAACTGCTCATGAATTATAAACCCAACATAATTCTCCAGATATCTTGTGTTTCAGCAAATTCTTTGACTAAGATTTGTTGTTTACAAAATTAGGTGGTGAACCTGATGAACAATTTCAGAAGTTTACACTCTTTGAAGTCCTTAAAGATCATGCTGCAAGTTTGGGTTCTTCACAATTGAGTACGGTGGGCACATGTTACCTGATGTTTGCAACCATACACTCATGAATTTCCTTTGGAGTTTTCTTCAATAGAATAGAGAACTTTGTGACAGCCAGCCCAGAGGTTAACACTTGAAAATTCCTCATTTTCTGTTTAAAAGTTCAGTCACTAATCTGAAACAAAAAAATGTGCAAGGATCATACCAATTGGCACTTTACCATATGAAAGAATACTTTTTCCCAAGGGTAGTGATAAGATAGTGCTTAGATTTTGAGAAATGGGTTGGGTCAAGAACTTTTTAGCACACCTCAATTATTTACAAATAACTAAAATATTTCCTCAACAAATTAAAAAGAAGAAATGAAAATGTATATTAGCTTGACATTAAGACACGAAATACATTCAGTGAGGTTTATATTTTTATAATAATCAGTTTACCTTTTTTCTGAGTTGTATTTAAACTAGTTAAACTAGTATTTTGTAAGAAAAAAAAAGTACAATATTCTTTTTGGAGAAATAATCTCCTTGATAAAAGCTGTGCACAATACAAGAATTCTGTTGGAGAATCTGTGCTAATCAATTCAAATTATTAAGTAAAAGAATTTATTGAAATATCTTCTATTTTTTTTTTTTTTTTTTTTAGATTGGTAACTCTTTGTTTGATGAAGAAGGGGCTAAAATTGTTGAGGGTTTGATGGAGAAGGCTAAAAAGAACAATGTAGAGTTGGTGTTGCCTGTTGACTTTGTCACTGGTGATAAATTTGCTGAGGATGCCACAGTTGGTCAGGCTACTGTATCTGGAGGTATTCCTGCTGGCCATATGGTAAGTTTTTTTTAAATCTTTTCATTACTCAATTGAATGTATAGTTTGATGGTTAAGGAATTGCCTATAAGGTCTATAAGTATTATCCTTGTACTGGGTAATCATGATTCCCAAAATAAGGCCATCACTTCTCACCTTAAAAGTGATACAAATAGAATGTTTAGGCTAGCACTTTCGTGATAGTAATTACTCTCTGACATGGTGTATAATGTGCACTTTTAAAAATCAATTTGTCACTTAAAAATACTTGCACATTATATACAAAGAATAAATCTTTGGCAGTGCTTGAAGCAAGCATGTATGCATCATTGATGACTACAATCTACTGAAGGTGAAAACAATAGGCACAAATTTTAAGAATTCAAAGATTGTAATAATAGTGAATTTTGTTATGGTTTCTTTGTGATTTACATTTTATATTTCATTTCTTTCATTAAAAAAATTTGAAGTATTTTTTTTATTTTCATCAGAATTAGACTCCTCATTATATTCATTGAATACAGTAGTATGTTATGTTCAATAGGGAATAAAAATACATTTTCTGGAAACCAATTGTTTCTATATATTTTCAATTTGATTGATATACTATTCAACTTATAAGCTACCAGTTATGTAAGCACGCTTTTGTCTAAACCAAAAATAATCTGAGGTTTTGTTTTTTCTGAAGTATTATATTAAATATTTTTACATTTGGATCAATATCTTGTATTGTCTTATTCTTAGGGTTTGGATGTTGGCCCTGAATCTAGCAAAAAATTTGCTGATGTTATTGTTAAGGCTAAGACTATTGTATGGAATGGGTAAGTTTACCAAGTAAAATATTTTATTTCTTTATATTTATGTATTGTAGGAATATCAATTCTATTGTCACTCACAGTAGAATTTATTTCAGGATGTTAAGATGAAAACAAGAAAAATATATATTTCTAGTATTTTTTTGTATTTTCATAAGAATTACTAAGTATAAAATAATTGAGGTGCCAGGCATGACGCATATTAATGTCAGTGTGCACAATTATAATCAACTGTTATTCATTTTTTTTTTTTTTTTACATTATTCAGAAATGTAGCCAATGTAAAATTTTAACATTGTAATAATTAGAAAACCAAAATCTGTCATTTTTTTTCTCAATTTTTCTTTTACAATTTGAATCTAGTATAACCAACACATCAAGTTTGGACATTTTTCACACAACAAAAACAATCTATGGTTAATTCAATAAAAATATAAAGTAACAAAGAAATAGAAACAATAATATACAAATTTATTTTTTCTCAGTCCTCCTGGTGTTTTTGAATTTGAGAAATTTGCTCAGGGAACCAAGTCTATGATGGATGCTGTTGTTAAAGCTACTCAAGCTGGTGCTACAAGCATCATTGGTGAGTTTTGTTGCTTTTCTTTTCTGTAACTTGGAGCTGGACTAACTTTCTTTTCATTTTTTAATTTAACTCTAGAGAAAAAATAGCAAAGGAATTAAATAAAATTAAAGTAATTGTTTATTTCTTTTTATCTCAAAATATATGAAATGATAAAAATGTATATTCTTGTATTTGATATTTTGGTGGGAAAACAATATGATGAAATTAATAGAGAAAAGTAACATTTTTTTTTTTTTTTTTTTTTTTGTAGGTTATTGTATATATAATAATATTTCAGTTTTTTTCCTTGTTTAAATTTTTTTACATTTTATATTGTTTCTTCCATTAAAAAATTTGAAGTATTTTTATTTTCATCAGAATTAGAATCCTCATTATATTCATTGAATACTGTAGTATGATATGTTCAATAGGGAATAAAAATACATTTTCTGGAAACCAGTTGTTTCTATATATTTTCAATGGCATGAATATATCTTTGTGGAAGGAACTTTTAGTTATATCTCTTAAGTTTTGTTTATAGATAGAAAATTCAGTTTAAATCTTGGCTATTATAAATTATAGCCTCTCATCAACATCATTGACTTCCCTTGTTCTATGGCAGCTAAAAGAAAAAAAAAGAATACAATTTCTTTAGTATCTGTACAATTCTTAAACATGTTTGTTTCATTAATCATGCATTTTAGTTTCTCTTAAATGTTTCTACAATTAAAAAAATAATGTTAAGATCTTTTCACAAGGATGGCATTAGAGTTCTCAGTATGAAAAACAGAATTGGCAAAGTTTCAAAACCTTGTTGTACCTGTTTATATTCATTTTGTGAACATATAAGGGTTCATATAACAGTTTTCGGAGAGCTGCAAAAGTATGTATATATATATATAGGGTGTAACAAAAATACTTTTACAAACTTTGAGGGCAGGTTCCTCACACTAAAACAAGGATAAAAGTCCACATAAACATATTGTTCTGGATGGAGCTTATTTAAAGCATAAAAGTACACACAGGTGTAAGTAATGATGAAGAGACAACATTATTTAAACAAATGGAATTATCATTAAAGAAATCTTTTGGAAAAAAACTTATTCCATAAAAAATCTTTTGATCAGCCAAGAAATCTACATGGTTGGCCTGGTTGTAAAAGAACATTAAGTTACAGATACAAAGTAGTGATTACCAAATGCTAGTGGACTTGATGGTTAACCATTCAAATGCAAAATGAGAATTTGGAAAAAAGAGAGAAAAACAGTATTGTTTATCAGAAATAAAATAACTGCAAACATTGTTAAATGAATCAATGAATGCAACCTGAAGTTTGACCTTTACACATAAAGTATGAATAAACTGTTATTTGGATACATGCTTCTGACAACTCTTCAGGAGTAGACTGGGCCTTCACGGCCATCTCTGCCACCAGGGGAAAGGAATAGAGAGAGAGAGAGGATGACAGTCCCAATGCTCAGATGCGCGTGGATGCCGATGATGATTTGGATACTTCGAAATCAATTGAAAAAGTATCTTTTCCCTGTAAAATTGTTGAATTTAAATGTATTATAATTTTTGATGTGGTGGACAGTGACATTCCACTATTATTAAGCTAGCTATACAGGGGAAAAGAAGCAAAAGTAATCTTAAATTTAGAAAATGATAAAGCATTAATTTTTTGACAAACCATTGACTTACAGATCATTAGTGTTACTCTAGCTGAAATATCAAATGAATATGAGTCCATGTCATGTTAACCTTAAATGAAAAAATACACATGAACAAAAATGGATCATTCACAAATTACATAAACAATAGTAGAGGTCAGCATCTTGTGAATATAATGCATTTGTGTTGTGTGTCTTCCTCAGTTGATTGAAATCAAAAAACATTTTTAAAAGAAACAAGAAAATACCTTCCAGTCTATTAACATGTATCCACCTAGCCACAGAATATAATGAGATGAATCTCAAAGAATGAGGAAATCAGGAACTTATATTTATTTCTACATTTGATATATATTGCAACTTGATTCAAGCTAACACCTGTCATACAGAGCAAACATTTATGTACTATTATTGATGAGATTATGACCCTCTAGATTGGAAGTGGGATGGACCCTCCACAAAATTTGTAGCAAATAATGGTAGTGAACATACAAATACTGAATATCACATGACAGAAAATCTGAATTTTGACGTCTGGAATATTGCTTGATTCAGTCTGACAAAATGAGAAGCAAAAGAAATTGAACAATTGTAGATGATTGTATACAGAAAATTTTTGCTGTTAAAAAAAACCAAAAAAAAACCTTGGTTTTGAAATTGCTGACAGAATGAAAACCAGAATTCATATTAAAAAGAACAGTTTAAATAGATACTTAACTTTGACAGCTTTAAGTTTGGAAGTATAAAACTTTTCTCACCATTTTCAAATGATATAGGGAACACTATTAATACTTTTAAAAGTGTATTATATTTTCGTCTATAAATACAAGCTCTAAAAGCTGGTCATAATTGAGCAAACTACCTTCAAGAATGGCTATAACAAATTAAATACATTTCTAACAATAAATATAATTGTGGAAAACGGCAGTTGGCTCTTAATATTTAGAATCTTATTGTGTCTAACTAGAAACTAATGTTATGTTTCAGGTGGAGGTGATACTGCTACTTGCTGTGCCAAGTTCAAGACTGAAGACAAAGTCAGTCATGTCAGTACTGGAGGTGGAGCAAGTTTGGAATTGTTGGAAGGTGAGTAACTTAAATCCACTTTGATAAATCCTAAAACAAAATTATTTATGCCTTGCAATTTAAAAGAAAATACAGAAGCACTTAATACTAATAGTTTGGTATTTCTGGCTAGTTTTGCATTATTTCATTCTAGTTAAGAGGTCAATGTAGAAAACTTTTAAACAGCACTTGGTTTCCTTTTCATATTACTGATGACATTTCTTATCACATATCTGAATTTAAACCCAGACTCGGATCTCTTCCTTCCAATACTAATAAATTTTGTTAATGTATCATATGCAGAGTGTGAATTCAGTAAATTTCTGGGAATGTAATGGGAGTTCATATTATGAACTGAAAGACCTACCTTGTATAATTTTGAAAATACAAAGTATTTTCAGAAAATAATGTCAAAGATAATAACCCATCAATTATCATATTCTGTCATATTAGAGAAATGAAATCATTAATCAGCTTTATTATCTTTGACATGAAACAGCACTCTTGAGATTTAATAATAATAATTATTTTTGTCAGGAATTTTGTAATAGTGATGTTGAATATCATATTTATTTTCAAGTATAACATCTTTCTCTATTTTCATGAAACTTGTAACTGAAATTGAGACTCTATTATAGTGAGGCAGACTAATACTTCATCACCCTTGTACTTGCATCGTAATGTGTGAGAATAAAGATCATGAACAACAATGAAATGATTTGTACATTATCTAAACTATCTTGAAAATATCAGTCACTAATAACATTTGAACCGTTGTCATTGGTTTCTGCTAATTGCTGTAGTTTGCATATCCATCATAGGATTTTACAAATAGTTTAATTTCTGACAAACTATGTGAAAGACAGATAAATGATCAACCACTTCTACTCCAACATTTAATTTTACAGTTGTGAAATTAATATCATGTAGATTGTAGAAGTAAACTGTTATAATTTAGATATTTATTAAAATGAAAATATAAAAGGACTTAATGGATAAAGCATTGGAAAATGAACCATTTTTTGTTGTTTTTGGATCCTGTTCCATCAACAGCCAATTATATTTTTGTATTATTTTATATAATGAGACATGAATGAAAAGGGAATAATGATATACAAGTCTCTTTTGTTATCATCCATTTCAAAGTTCCCATCTTTAGCACTATACTTAGAAATAAGTGATTATTCACTTTTAATCAACATATGCTCATAAATGTCAACATCATGCTATGTATAATAATATCAAGTCATACATATGGGTTGTCACCTCAAAATTTATACACGCTTTGTTAAAAGTAGTTCTGGTTATTAGAGTAATATTTTTTGTGCATACAATTTTTCTAAAATAGTTGTAACACAATTACAAGTATTGTGTTGATGCTTGTAATAAATTATCATGAAAGAGTTGAATTAACTTTTAAGTCAATAATAACTATGATTATCACAATCATAGTTATTATCGACAAAGTTTTTCTACATTTGAGGAATATACTTTGTATTCCGGATCTATAAATTACCTACTAGATTTGTTTATAATTACTTATTGGTTTAATTTCTACAGTTTATATTTTCATATAACTTTATGATAATGCAACTATAATATAATTTCACCCTTTGTTTCTATTTTCATTTTCATAAAACTAAATAAATATATTTTTATTGCAGGCAAAGTCCTCCCTGGTGTTGCTGCTCTTTCCAATGCTTAAGATCTTTATATTTCTATCAACACCTCCTGTAAAGAACACTAGAGGTGCAGGAAATTCTGTTTATCAAGAGCACTTCTAACTTTAGTTTACTGGCTATTGAAAAAGATGTCTATATACAACTAGCCAGATTTCATCAACTGTCAAATGGTTTCACATTTTGTAAATTAATAAATAATAATTAAAATATGACCGTAATCAAGCATGTAACTTGTCTGTTGTGGTCTTTGTCTATGTCGCAATAAGGAGGTACTCTAAAATTCCTTGCCTAACCAAGAAGGAATTCCATGATAAAATCTAATATTTGATTTGATCAAATTTTAGGGAGTGTATTGGGTTGAGATTTTTTTCAGCACCTTGTCATGTAATCTACTTTTAAAAACTATAACATCTTTGAAAAATCGAAATAATAGATTTCTGTTTAAATGTTTAAAATGCTTGTTAAGATGTTAGTTGGGGATAGGTCAGATGAATTTGCTGTTAAACTTCATATCCTAAATGGCTTAATGTCAGTATTGTATTTCATCAAGTTAGGCAAAAGATATGGATCAGTTCTGTTGTTTAATGCTAGATCTCATTATAAAATCCAATGAAGGGTCATAGAATCAAATGAAGTGCATTTTGATTAAGATGAATGATTGTTTAAAATATATTTTATTTTGATATTATTAATTGTCTGTTTTATATGAAAATAATAAAAATGTAAATTAATTAGCAAAAAAGATTTATCATTGTTTCTTTATTCAAGTAGATTGAATATTTTATTTGCAAGAAATTTGTTTAAATCCTTGTTAGTCATACGATAAACATTTTGAATTACTACAGATCTCACTAACATTTGACTTTATGGATACCCAAGGATGTTACAGAAAGATATTAGGAAGCAAATCTCATGAGGTTTAAAGTTTACTACCAACCAATAGTTTTGGTTTGTTTTGTTTTATGGTATATCAACCTCAATGGGTTATTTAATGCCAACAACTATCTCTCCTTTTCTTTCTTTCTTTTTTTTTTTTTTTGGTCAAAAATCGATTTTTATGGTAATGTTATTTTTTTTCAAAAATGTATTACTGATAATATATTTCAAAAATGTCTTGCTGGTAATAGTTTTTTTTTTTTTTTTTTTTTTTTTTTTTCTTCAAAAATTTATTTCTGGTAATTTTTTACAAAGTATTTCTGGTATTAAAACCTATTTTTACACTTTTATAATGCTTTTTACCTCAGTTTTGGGGTTAACTATTTGCCCATAGCTGGGACCCTAATAGGTGCTACGACCCCGGGTGAGGGTGGACCTGGGCACATCAGCAATTAAGAGGTGGTTCCACACTCTTCAAAGCCTCCTGATCAGAGGCCTTGCTGTTGGACGTAGTTTATCGTCTTACCCAAGACACGGATGTAGTTTAACGTCTTACCCAGGACGGCAACCAATAGGTTCTGTTTGTCATGAAACATAAAAACTATTCTGAAGGTAATGTTATGATTCCACCACCATATCCCATCACATGTGAATGTGTATGTTAGTTCCACTTCTTGATTGTGTCATCTTGTTTTCAGGACTGAGGAGAGGAATAAGATGGATTTTTAAACTTCACAAGATCAAACTTAATTTTCGACTAAACAAACAGCTTCCTGGTTTATTTTAGCAATTAGTCAAAAATTAACAATAAACTGTATTCCAGGTGGTACATTGTTTAAAAAAAGGGGTCTATTAGCTGCAACAGGAGTATCAAGGTTTAATTAGAACTTGCAAAACTTCATGGATAGCTCACCAAAACGGTTTTGGGTTGTATTGTTTACTATTCTTTGAAATCTTTGCAGACCGTTTCCAACACTTGCACCTACTGCATGATTACTATAAGCTTCACTGCTATTTCTTTCAAGATTGTTTGCTAATCTATCAGTGTATCATCCTTGGTTATTCATTAACATGTGAACAAACACTCCTGATAATCTTTACTGGACAGTTTTAGAGACATGACATAAATCCTATTCATACAATTTTTTCTTTTTTTATCTGATTTAGTGTCACAGCTACCTCATACATTTAACCCTTTATTCCAGGCACACTCAAATGTGCCTGCAGTTGGATAGCCCTGTATTTTCATACACATTATCAACTTGAAATGTCAGAAATCTATGACTTCATAAAAGTCAGATTTCCAAAACCACATCTCATAACCAGTAATATCAAGAAAGCTAAATTTTTTATAATTTGAAAGAGAAATCAATTTACTTCCATACAAAACCAACGTGTAAGACTTGATTTTTAAGTTGTCCTTCAGATATATCATTTTAATTGCACTAACATTGCATTGATTGTCAGTGAACAAACATGTTTTTTCATTCTTCAAAGAAAGTGATGTATTTTAAAAAAGGCAGTGTTTAATTATCCACTTTTTATTTATATTTTTCTTTATTATAATTTTGTTATATTATGCATTTACAATATTATTAAAATACATTTTTTTTTCTTAAGTCTATGTATACATCGATTGTGTGGGGTTTTTTTGTTTTGTTTTTTGTTTTATTTTTAAAATAAGTGTTTTAGCAAGTTTACTTACTTCATTAAGAATGTCTGTTATTATTAGGAACATTTAATGCATTGTATTTATTAAATTACTTATACAGTGGCATGAATAATTCTATATTTATATTTAAGCATTATGTCAAGTCTTATTCAATGTGTCCACTTCAGGGAAAAGATCATGGGGTTGCTCTCTTCAAAGATACAAGAACTGACTCTCTAGAGTCAGTTCTTGTATCTTTGAAGAGAGCAACCCCATGGACTTGAGGCTAAATCATTTGAAACACAAGTGGCAGTGTTCCATCCAAAAGTCAAAGCCACCATAAGAGAGAAATCAAAGAGAAAGGCTCAACAAATTCAACCTCGTCCTCCACCAACATTACCATGCAAGATTTGGTCTACTTAGTCATCAACACCATCATCATAATAGAAGAAATTAAATTCTTGGATACAAGATAGAGCTGATGACGATGATGAAAATCTGGTAATCTTTATAGGCTCATAAAAATCTAGAATTAATTATAGGTTTCTACCTATAACCCATTAATATACATCATTTGAAAAATGGGATGATAGGTTTTAATGGTTTCAACTTTTCACCAATCAAATTACATAGATGAAAATAATAAAAAATTATTCACCAATAGAGTTTATAATTTTTTTTTTTTTTTTTTTTTTTAATTAGTGAATCGTTAATAAATATTGATATTTACTAAGATGAGTATAACAGAGGAGGAAATATGTTCTGCTAGTATTTCAGTTCTGGAAGACTAGCTTGCCTTGAAAATCAGCATTTGAAATTTTGAACATCAACCATTGGTGCTGATAGAAAATATACAACTATTTTACCCACCACACCAAGTTCATGAACTATTTTACATTATGTAAGTAAATAAAAAAGATTAGAACAGACAAGTAAATTCTGCAATCTTTAACCTTTATGCCCACAAAAAAACAGTGTCAGAAGGACATTTTTTTCCTTGACTATTATTTAAACTATTTTCACTCCTCAGCAATGTTCATTTTAAAAAGTGATGATTAGAAATTGTAATAAAACCTAATTTAAACATTTTTTTGTGCTTGAGAATTTACAACAAAAATATTACACACTATTTATTAGATTGTTTATTTACAAGAATTTTATATTTGCAACATTCTAAAAACTAATACAATTAAAAATAATGAAATTCAATATTTATCATTTACCAATTTATAAAGAAATAAATATGAAAATTTTTTATTCATAAATTTATAAACATTTACTAAATTATTAAAATATGTGAACCAACTATTCCAATAAATACTATAATAAATAGTGTAAATAAACAATCTAATAAATAAAGTGTTGTCAAGAATAAATGTATAAATTCACTTTCATATGTTGAGGTTTTATTGCAATTCTAATAATTTTTTAAAACTATAAACATTGCTGAGGAATGAAGGCAATTAAAATAATAGTAGTCAAGGGAAAAACTGTCCTTTTGACACAGTTTTTTTTGCAGACACAATGGTTAAAGATTGCTTAATTTTTTAAAAATTTTTTTTCCATTAGACTTCAGCCAAGATCACACTGTCCAAAACTCCATGCCACATTTAATTGTGAATTCCATATTTCCAATGTGTGTAAAGTATGTACCTTTTCTAAAGCTATATACGGTTTTTTAATTCAGAGTTATCCTCTTAAGCTGGTTCCAGCCACAGCTATAGATTCCAGTCTGCTCTGCTATTTAATCCATATGTGAGGCAAGACAAGATGGATTGATGCCTTTCTCAAGGATATTTGTACAAAAGTGAATGTAACACACTCAGCCAAAATTTATATTCAGTTTTCCTATTTCTCTTTCCAAGCTGTTAACCATTACACTACTGACAATGTTTACCAGACCCACTTTTGTGGATCATTACTACTATAATGAATCTAATTCCTCACTGAGTACACCACAATTGTGCTAAATACCAATAATAGAATTATGTCAGCAACAGCCAAACTGATATGAATCATCAAGAATAGCAATTTCAGAATCCCACAATAAATTCAAGGGACAATGGTTAACTCTACACTCAAGAATGTTTTTCCACATCCTAGTTATGATGCAGTTATTTTTCATACCCATTCTCAGAAAATCTTTCTTTCGCTGTAAATCTTCCCATGCTATAATGGCAAAATTTAGTTTCTAAGCCAACTCCATTGGAAAGTTTTAAAATGATTTTTTTTAATCTGAAGTCCTAAACATAAAGGCAAACATTAAAAGAAATCAGCTAATATTTGCAAGAGTAAGGTGGACAATTTGCAAATATGTGTAAATGCAACAGGTTCAGTGATAGCTGAAGATTTGATAAAAAAAAAAAAAGCAGCAATGTGCCTGGTCTTGTAGCCTGTAATAATAAGTTGGAAGGCTGTGGTAACATTTTAAAGATTCTTTATTATAGACAAAGTTGTACAGACATGTTGGATGATCAGCACCGAGGCTTAAAACTG